AATTGTGCTGTGCCTTTAAGAGGAGATGTTTTCTTCTTCGTTGTTTTGGGGTAGTGTGACTGAGACGAGTCTGTTCTGAGGTGATGGCGGTTGAATAAAAAGTCTGGACAGCTACGCTATTCCCTCTCCGTGTTCTGCTTTCTCCACCCACGACCTCCTATGTTACGGTAACAGATTGATATCACATCATAGTGTTACACTACTGTTGTCATATTTGTTTATAGCTAAGCAATCAAGACAAATAATAGTCTTAATAAAAAAATAGCAATGTATTTTTAACATTTACAATTACAAGTTAATTCTGCAGAACTCAAATGTACAAACTTTTACATTATCTATCTTACTTAGTTAATTTCTAACATAAAGATTCTGTTCAGTTTTCTAATCCATAAAAAATATTTTACAGCATTAAGATTTTAGAATACATATAAATAAAAACATTTTAATTTTATCCATTTAGATTAATGGTTAAAAATAATTCAGTGACAGAGGGTTTTATTTAAAGCATCCTCAAACCTCACACATGAATAAAAGCTTAAAATCCATAAATCAAATACAACTGACACTAATGTTACTTTGAATGCAGCAGGTCATCAAAGTGTAGATTACTTAACAATATTATATAATTTTATAATATCCAATGAAGTGCACTTGAAAATGTATTAAGGCATAGCTATGAACAAACAAATAATAATTTTATTGTACTTCTTTTCAGTAAATCGCAGAGTCACACATTGGACAGGTTTGTGCAAAGGGCACCAGGATGTTCAGTTCTGCAAGCAGCAGACTTCACCAACAGCATTTTAAATATGATCATCAAGGACATGCGGCCGCTGTCTGTGGTGGAAGATGAAGACTTTCAGAAAATGATCTCAACCTTCAATACAAATTACGTCCTTCCCTCCAGATCCTACTTTATAAAAATGGTGGAGAAAAAGTATGAAGAAATCAAAGAAAAGCTGAAAAACACAACTCCTTTAAAGACTTGAGCAACGGTCAAACACATACACACTTGTATGTTGAGACATTTAAGAAAGGCATATTGATGTTATTTGCAAGAATACGTTCAGTATATGTTGGCTTTGAAAAAGAAAATCTTTCATTTTACCCTGTATTCATCCACTCACCTTCTTACCGACTCATGTTCGTGCTGCTGCTGTTCAGTTTTGGTACCATTAGTAATTAGTGTATTCTTAGTTTAGTGTATTTCTTAGTTATCTTAGATCTTATTATTGTTTTTCTTTACATTTTATACTTTTGTTGGATGTAACTTACCCTGTGTACACAATTTCGTTCCACCACGTGCACCAAATATGTAAATGACAATAGAAACTTTGATCTTTGAAAACGCACAAGTGGATTTTGTTATACCTCAGACTTTCAAGTTGAATTTATAAAGGGCAGTGTTTACTGTTGTTGCTTTAATTTGTTTTCTATTTCATGTTAATGAACTTTTTTCACTTCTGTGTTTTAACATTTTAGAAATAAGGAAGTTTTGCTACACTTCAGAGAAATGCAGGTTCAACATGTAATTACATTTTAAAATAAAATATTTTTAAAAGAGGAATTAAATGGATTATTTACTTAATGTTCTTTTTCGTGTATTTAAATGAGTGGTTACTGCAGAACCTGACAAATTTTGTTTTTTGATTACTCGATTAATCGCAAGAATATTCTATAGATTCCTCGATTACTAAAATATTCGTTTACAACAGCCCTATCATAGTCCTCAATTGAGCTGCCCAATAGTACCAGAGTGGATTGGGGCACCTGAGGCCACCTCTATCATACGGTAGGTACAAAGTGATAAACATAACCTTGGTCTTCTATTATTCCACAGAAAGCGTATGAAAATATTTTTTATTGCTGAGAATAAATTGGCAGGAGGCGGCAACGGGATGTTCTGGAACAGATACAAAAGTTTGGGCATTATATTGGATTTAAGGACATTGATTTGTGCTATTAGTGACAAGGGCAGGTTGTTCAATCTATCCACATAGGCAGCAATTGAGTCTATTATTGGGTTATAGTTAACCGCAGCAATGTCATTTATACGTGGTACTATCCTAACCCCCAAGTATGTAAAACAATTTACCTTTTTGAATTGGAAAGGATTCCCAACACTGTTTCTTTCTTCTGAATTAAGTAGCATTAACGAAGACTTGTCTTTATTTACTTTATATCCTGATATTCTTCCAAATGTGTTTATTAGACACAACAAGGCTGGAATAGTGTCTTTCAGTTTTTCCAAAAAAAGAATGACATCATCAGCAAATAAAGCAATTCTATGTTCCTGTTGGCCTATTGTCAAACCTGTTATGTTTTTATGAGAACGCACCGTGATGACAAACGGCTCTATTGCTAGAATAAATAATAAAGGGGACAGGGGGCACCCCTGCTTACAACCTCGTTTGATTTTGAATGATTTAGATATAACTCCATTTGTTACTATTTCAGCATAAGGCTCATTGTATAAAAGTTTAACCCACCGACAGAAATTGTCCCCACAGCCAAATCTTTTCAATATCTCGAATAAATAGGGCCATTCAACTCTATCAAAGGCCTTTTCAGCATCCAATGATAGCAAAGCCGTGTCTGTTTTTTCTTCCATACAATAAGTAATATCCAGCACTCGTCTCACATTATGAAATCCCTGTCTTCCTTTAATAAACCCATTTTGGTCACAAGCAATTATTTTGGGCAATATTCTCTCCAATCTTCGAGCCAAAATTTTACACAAAATCTTTAAATCGACATTAAGAAGACTTATTGGTCTTAGATTTTCACATTTATTACAAGGTTTGCCAGGTTTGGGCAATAAAGTAATCAGGGCTCCTCTTAACGAAGCAGGAAGAATTCCCTTATCAAATGAGTCCAAGTACATGTCGAAAAGGGGGGCTAGCAGTTTAGCTTTAAATTTCTTATAAAATTCTGTCGGCAGCCCATCTGGGCCTGGGGCTTTGCCTATTTTCAAATGATCTATTGCTATAGATATTTCTTCGTTAGTTATATCTGCACCGAGATCTGTACTCATTAATTCTGAGATATTGGTCATTTGGAGGGTATCTAAGAAAACATTTTGTTCTTGTTCCTTATGCGGTATGTCTGAGCTGTCTAATTTTTCAAAAAAGATCTTAAAAATGTCATTGATTTCTAATGGATCGGTAATAATCTGTCCCTCATTATTTTCAACTGAAGTAATATTTTTCTCATTTTGTAATTGTCGTAGTCGGCAGGCTAATAATTTCCCAGGCTTTTCCCCTTGATCATAGAACAACTGCTTAAGACGTAAAAGTTGTGAGGCGGCTTTAGAGGCAGAGAGTTCATTATACTGTGTTCTTAGTATTAGAAGTTTTTTATGGATGTTTGGGCATAGCGTTTGATAATCCCTCTCCAGCAGGTCAATCTCCGCTGCAAACTCTTTTGTTTTTTGATAGGTTTGTTTTGCCTTATAACTTGTAAAGCTAATTATCTGACCCCTTACCAAGATGGCCGCGCTCAGAGCAGTTGCAGCTTCACAGGCTCCCGGTACCATCCCAGTTTTTAGAAGTTTTGATATTGACTCTGTGCCTGACTCTGCGCGATTTATGCGTGTGAACTATAGCCGAACCGAACTGATGAGAATAGGAGCGGATTTGCCACGAAATATAGCAGAAATCAGCAACAAACTCAAAGCTACGCTCGGCAGAATGCAGA